GGCTCCCCCAGCCCCCAAACCCCAACAGAGCCCCCAGCCCAGGTCTGCAAACCACATCCCCCCCCCCCCCCTCCGGGACCCAGCCAGTTCCCCCGGCCCACTGACACCCACAACAGAGCCTCAGGCAGTGCAGCCAATGCCCCCCTCGCCCCCACCACAAAGCACAAGGGGGTCAGCAGCTCACCCCAATGCAAGCAGGGCCCATTCCTCCAGCCTGGGGCCCCAGGGCAGCAGCCCAACTCGGGGGGCAGGGCAGGGCCCCCTGGGCAAAGCGAACAATGCTCGACCCGCTAGACCGTGCCAGGAAACCCCAATCGTGGAGTGACCCGAACCAGGGACAGGGGCAGGAGACAGGCCCAGAGAGGGCACTGGGGCAGTGAGCAGAGAGACAGGGACAGACCCACGTTCGCTCCCAGAGCCAGGCCCTGGGAACAGGGGGACCCCGAGCCACACGGGACCCCACCCAGGGGATCAGCTCTGACAGCCGCTCAGCCTGGACAGTCACCAAGTGGAACTGCTGCCCCATGGCCGCCAGAGCCTCACGGCACCAGGCCCCTCCTGCCCTTGGGACCCCAGCCCATGGGGGGGGGCACTCACGTGTCACGGAGCCTAATGGGCAACCGTGCCGAACCCACAGGTTGGGGGAACCTTTCCCAAGCGCCCCCCCTCCTCCCCAGGCCATGTGCTCCATGCCCCCTGGACCCCCAATCCCCCCAGGTCCCCCTGCCCTCACCTCAGCAGGTGCAGCACGAGGAAGGCCAGCGTGTCCCGGTTGGCGGGGGGCAGTTTGCTCACCACATGGCACAGGGCTGTCTGGCAGGCGGCCTCGTCCGGGATGTCTGGGGCAGAGTCAGGAGCTGTGACATGGGTCCTCAGCCGCCCCCCCAGCCCAACGCTGCCCCACGGCACCAGCACGGGCGCAGCCCAGCACTGGTGGGGCAGAGCCAGGGCAGCGGGTCCAGTCGGGCCCCGGGGTGTTCGGAAAGGCCCCATGGATACACTGCGCCCAGGCTGTGGGTCGGGGCACTCGCCTCCGAGCCAGGAGTCCCTGGCTCCCTAAGAGACTCCCAGCACCTCCCTGGCCCCGTGGGGGGGTCCACCCAAAACCCATAGGTCCCGCCCCTGGCCCCGCCCCAACACACAGGCCCCACCCCCTGCCCCACCCACAGACCCCACCCCCTACCCCACCTTGCCCCCACCTCCCTGGCCCTGCCCCAACCCACAGACCCTGCCTCCTGCCCCACCTGGCACACACCTCCCAGGCCCTGCCCCCAGCCCCCTCCCGCCCCACACACAGCACTCCAGCCCCACACCAACCCGCAGAGCCCAGCCCTGCCCCCCAACTCCCGGGCCCCGCCCGCTCACCGGCAGCCCGCAGGAAGGCGGGGTGCAGGTGGAAGGTGACCAGCGGCTCCTTGAGGCCCCTCAGGAAGTCCTTGAGCACCCCACACACCACATGCACGTCGCCCACATGGCCCAGCGAGGGCAGCGCCCCCTTGGCCCGTAGCAGCTTCTGCTTCC